GGCTTGGGGTTTGGTGTTTAGGGTTTAGGGTTTGGGGTAGCCCACCGAGCCCTAAACTAAACCCCCTCTTTCTCGGTCTCCCCTTGCCCCGCCTTAGCCATCATGGCATTCCGACAACAAACCAGGCGGAAGGGAAAAAGGTCTCAAAAAGACGCTCTAGACTCTAAACCTTAAGCCCAGTGACACCCTTGTTTTGCAACCCTGTAACCCCCTGAACGCTGAGCCCTGACCCTCAACCCGAAACTCCAAATCTCAAACCCCCCAACCGTAACCCCTAAACCCTAAACCCTAAACTCTTAAACCAAGGTAAAAGGTGCTAAACAAAAACTCTTAAACCTAAATCCAAATGCCAAACCTGAAACCCTCAACCCCGTGAACACGCACATCGAGCGTTCAGACTTCGACAAGTCTCCTCGAGCCCTGCTCCAGGGCCTCAGCTCTTGCAGAAGACCTCCTCCTTTTTGCTTCAACTTTTCTATAGATTTATAGTACATTTTTCGTTCGAATCTTTCTATGAAGCTATTTTACTGCGTTTTGCCGAAGATCTTGTTCTAAGCAGCCACTCCGAGCACTCGACGTACCCACACGCCAAGATCAACATGGAAGACACATATTATTCGACCAAAAGCATCATGAATCGTTTGCCGGCATTGGGTAGTACGGCTGCGGTTCAACCCAAAGAGCTCGTGAGCCCTCAGCCCGAAGGCGCTTGAGTGTGGGGGGTTCGATTACAGTGGAGGTTGCGAGATCTTTAGATGATCTTCTCGGGCTCCGGGTTCAAGGCTGAGGGTTGGGCACCTAGTACATACCGCCAGGCCTGAATAATTACGACACTTCGAACGTAAAAGCCCAATTCCCTGAACCCTACGCCAGCTCTCGGAGACGTTTGTGCGTCAGGTGAAGGAAGAGACTGACCTGTGGTGCAAATACAGCAACTTGGCGGAGATCGTTTCACAAGGTTTGATTACTCGTAGTAGCAAAGAAAGGGTGTGAGAAATGGGAGGCAATAGCAAAAGCAAAAACTCGCATTAACGATAGCACTAGATACTGTCATAGTCAAAACACAAATTACAGTGATAAGAGAACGGTAGTGGTAATTGTGATAGTGCAGGTATCATGACGACTAGCCCAACACCCCAAGCCCCATCCATCTACATGGGAGGTGGCTCTGGCGTACGCGTCGCCTCCTGCACAAAGGGAGATCGTCAACCTCCGCCGCGTGGCAGGTGACTTCACTGCACAGAATGTGGAAGTTGGTTGTGGGCTTCAGGCGTCGAGGCATTTCCTCTATCTCTGACCCTTAACCCTAAGCTCGTAAACCCTAAACCCCAAACCAATAAGTCTGCCCAGAGACTCCAATATCCCGTAATTGAGGAATATACCTCAAATTATAGTTGGACCCTTAATCTGATTTAAGGTATATTCCTTAATTAAAGGATATTCCTGTCTCTGGGTGGGACTGGGTGGGGCCCGCAGGGCTTTCTGTCTTCTTCGCAGGCAGGGCCGAGGCTTATGAGCTCCCAGAGGGCCCCGAACGAAAGTTTCAGGGTGTCTTAAAGGATTTATGAGCCAAAACCATGGGCTCTAAACAGCCAAGGCCCCGAAACCCAAAATTACCACGCTAAACCCTAAGCTCTAAACCCTAAACCCCTAAACCCCTAAGCCCCGAAACGCGAAGCCATGGCAGGTACGAAATCCTCTGCGCCTCAGCAGGGCGGCTTGGGTCGCTGCTGAAGGACGGGACTGGAGATTTTTGGTGCAGGTCGGAGGTTTGAGGTTTATTCTTTAGGACCATAAGCCCTAAACAAGTATGAGCAAGCATAGGCTAACCCCACGCCTCACATCCTATACTCCCCCCTACACTTTCAACCCATTTCTCAACCCGCCTAACAATTCAACCCTTCAAAACACTAAAACACGAAGCACTCCTCAACTCACAACAAAACAAATAGCACAACCCAAAACACAAAGCACCTACCAACACAACACCAAATCCCAATACACATAC